ACAAAAGTTTCAGAAATACAAGCAGAATAACAAAAATTCTAAAGAGATCAAATCAGTCACAAAAAAAGTTCTTCCCCCAAAATTATTTGGCACAAATGTTTGATATAAAATGTTCACAACACAACAAACTGCATAAACTATAGCAGTATAGCATACTTACTTCTAAAAGCGGTATTTAAGTGGAATATACAATTCTCCGAAAGCCACTTTATGGGCATGCAAGGGCATGGGGTCAAAGATGTCAGAGGGTCTGATGATTGAATACCGCAATGGGCTAGTGGGACTTACATGGTAAGCATGGAAATGAGAATCGAAACCACTGTTTACAAAATAAGAGAAAACAAACAGAATGTCACTCTGGTTACTTGAACTTAAGAGAATTTGTTCTAACTGACCAAATACTGGCTTAGAATTTTCCATAAGATTAACAAATAGAACACATCCATGAACATATTTGGTTCCCTTTAGATTTATCCACACACAAGACAAACACTCACTCCCATTGCACAAAAAGTCAGAAGGAATTAAATGATGAATTCCACTCAATGCATCTACATCAGAAATATCCGTTAAATCAAGAGATCCAAATGACGTTTGAGGCAAGATTGATTCTGCAGCCAGAAATTTGTAACAAAATGCAAGTTGATGTTTAATGGCACTGGACAAACAAATATCTGTGCGTGATGAGTTTACATGAGCAGGTTTGGTGATATCTCGATGTTTAGCTTCATAGCGGATAGTAGATACATGATCAACTGGTCCATTATTGTGAATGAATGATCCATAATGGACAAGAACATGACCCTTGAAAGTTAGATTTTTTCCAGTCAAAGTACAATAATCACTATTCAGTTCAGAAACCAAAGTATTCAAAATACCATCAATATTCTTGGGCAGGGCTTTTGCTTTCACAATGTCAAAAACTTCTCTAAACTTCAAGTACAATTTCCAATATGGATCTGATTCTGGGACACATTCACCAATAATAAGTGAGAACAGACGGATGAAGCACGTCATTTCAGAACCAGACATCTTTAGTTTGTCTCTTGAAGCAAACTCTTCTGAAATTGGGGGTACTTTGTTGGTGACATTGTGTCCATAATCAAAGACATTGATTCTTTCATTGAGAGTCTTGAGGGTGAAGCACTTTGGGATCATTTTTCTGAGAACTGCAAGCATTAAATTGTGGCAAATTCCTTCTTCGCAGTCATGAAAAGGGTCGACCGAAAGATCTTGGGGAAATTCCAGGGATGGAATTTCTCTCAAAGCACAGTCATCTTTAACACCAGTCAAACTCTTATTTTTAACAGCAACAGCAGCAAGGAAATTGGCCTCATTGCGTAACAAAGCAGAATCTTCAACACATTGAAAGTGCATAACAATTTTGTGCACTTTACATCTCCGGCACATGTGGTTGGCCTTCGAAAAAGAATTCACAAAACCACCTAAGCTATTTAAGCCGGAATTATCTCCAAGAATAAGTCCAGTGACAAAATAAATTCTTCTACAGCCCACATTGGGGATATTCACGAGGATCCCTTGCTTTTCCAAAAGAGTCAAGTCTTCAATCAAAGGTTTTAAAATTTTCTTCTGTGTTTCATAATCTGCTGTTCTATACTTGCTCAAAAAGAGAAGACATAAAAATATATTACTAAGAGCAGACTGGAACTCGGGCGTCAAGCAAGCAACTTTTGCATAAAATGCTCCAATCTTCTTAGAGTGGGGACTCAAATCCTTATTAAGTTCCAAATCATCGAAGAACGCGAATAGAGGAAGAACAACTTCTCCAGCATTCTTGAACTTAGCAGCTTTAGCCTTAAATGAAGGGCACTGGACATAATTATAAATATAATCATCTTCGTTGAGATCAAGCGAATTAACGTAAGCAATGGTACTCGAGAATGCATCTGGAAGCTCAAAAAACTTAGTAAGCATCAGAGGCAAGTTAACATGTTGCCCATACACAGGTCTTCTCTTGAGATTCACTGTACCTTTACTACGACGCATTACTTTAATAGAGCCAATTTCATAAGGCTGAGGTGCAATGTAGGCCTCAGTCGACTTAAAATATTTTAGCCTCCTGTATTCGGACTGTAGCTCTTCAAAAGGATTTAGTAGAAACTGAAATAATTTGTGAACTTCTTCTATGTCAGTTGGACTTGCTTTACAACTCTTCATGACTTCAGTGACTCTCAAAGCAATAGAACTTGTGCATTTGAGAAGTGATGTAACATCAAAAATGAACTTCTGAACATAACTTCTTGGCAGTGTTTTGTCACCAGACAACTTTGCTAGCAGTGACACAACACATTTCTTAAATGGTTCTAGAACCTCTTCAACACTATGGTGACTTGCTTCCGGCATATCAGTTTCAGTGGCTTGATACTCATGTTGCATTAAATGCTCTGGAGAAGTATATGTTTCCAAATTCCTCTGGTACGTAACATTGTGCACTGTTGACACTGAAGGATAAAAGTCAATCAAGTGAATCTTGTGCAAGTGCTTCTTTAGAGAATCTAAGGAGCCATAAGCTCTGTTGCACCCTTCTCTGCAAGTATAGAAGTAAATGTCTCCATTCTTGTGTTTGAGCTGGCAGTGCAAGTCTAAAGCAAGAAAATTTGCAGGAAGTTCTTCTTTACACCAAAAGCACTTCATTTTTGAAGAATAAAGTGAATTATAACAACTTAGTTGATACAAAGAGAAAGGTAATTTATCGTATGCAACAGATAAACATAACAGTCAAGTAGTTGGGAAATAAAGTTTACCAAAACAAAATTATCACAAAATAGAGTTAAATAAGAAATATTAAACTTATTTCTGGTCGAGACTAGCAGCATTAAAGCATACCAACAGTCTCAGAAACACAAGCAGAACAAAAATTCTGAAGAGATAAACTCAGTATCACAAAACAAAAAAGTTTACACCTATTTTCTGGTCGAGCAGACAAAACAGCATTAAAGCAAAACAAAAGTCTGAGAAATACAAGGAGAATTACAATAAAAATTCTAAACAATTCTCAATTTAGTTAAACAAAGAAGTTATTTACACCTATTTCTGGTCAAACAGACTAGACGGTATAAAAGCAAACAACAGTCTGAAAAATACAAGTAGAATTAATAACAAATTCTGAAGAGATCAACTTAGTCAAACAACAAAGTTTACACCTATTTATGGTGAAACAGACTGGACAGCATTAGAGCAAAACAAAAAATCTGAGAAACACAAGCAGAATTAATGACAATTCTGAAGAGCACAACTCAGTCACAAAAAAAAATCTACTACAGAAACACCATTTTGGTAGTATAGAAATAAAACTAGAAAAATATTTTCAATACAAAAAACATGAACTGAGCATAGTGCATACACACACTATCAATCAATTGATTCAGATTTAAATTGCAGCAAACTGCTTCAGGTCAGATGCAAGATAAGCTTTCAGAGGCTTGTCATCTTTGAAGTCATTGGCACAAACAATGCCATACACAGCCTGCTGAATGAAAGTCCAGATGTGTCTGGATTCTGCAGGATATGCAGCATCAGTAGCAAAGAATGATTTAAAAGCTACATCCAGAGCTTGAAGTGGGGATTCAAAGTCCCACGATGACTTGTCATTGAAAACAAGTTTCCAATTTTTTATTTGGTGAACAGGGCCAATGAAACAGAGGTACGGTTGCAAACTCAATCCTTGCTTGGCCAGGCATTCCCTCCTGTCATTGATGACAGACTTCCACGACCCTTCAGTCTAGAAAGCAAAAGACAAAAATTAGACAACAGAAATTATTGGCAACCAACATTAAGGAAATACTTAATAAAAAAATAGGGGAGGACAAAATTGGTTATTTCACTATGCTTACCGGTGCATGAAGCACAAAGGAACGTTGCGCTTCTATGCGAGAGACTTTCCATGATCCTTTAGGAGTTGAAACATTGCGGACTTTGAACAATTGGTTCAGCCGAATCAAGAGTTCAGTGACTTTCTGATCTACAAAAACAAAAATTAAAAGTATTAAGATGTGAAATTCAGTGTTTAGAATGCATTCTGGAATTAAGTATAAACTGCAATTAGATTGTAAATAGTATCAGAATGCCAAGAACTTTACTTTAAAGAGGTTCCAAGTGTGTGCTTCTAATTTGATAGGATATCCTCTTGTAAAGGTAACGCGCAGGATTACTCTGGAGAAAGTGGTGATAAAAAAGTGGTCAACATCTAGTTTGTTTCAGTTCATCTAGGACAACAAATTGACTCAGGAGTTTTACTGAATTTTCAAAAATGAAACTTATAGATAGTAAGAAGCTCTGTAAATATATTTTTTTTTACTCCAAATAGGATAATTTTTATTTTTCAAAATTCAGTAAAATCCCTGTGTTAATCTTTAGTTCTTGATGGACTGAAACAAACAAGCTATTGACAACTTTTTTATCACCACCTTCTCCGGAGTAATCCTGCGCATTAATTTTATAAGGAGATATCCTATTATATTAGAAGTACACACTTTGGGATCTCTTTAAAGTGAAGTTCATGGCATTCTGATATTGTTAGTATTAAGCCATCCCTTGTGTTGAGAAATATACCCTCAGGTTCCATCCCTACTTCTACAGTGAGGCTCAGAAACTAATTTTATTGACAAATGTACCAAAAGTGCATTTTGAGAGATAAAAGCCCCCTGAACTATTTTTTCCTCATAGTAATGATAGGATTCTAATTCAAGTCTATTGTTCCCACAGCTAAATTAAAAAGCTATCAGTTTAAAACTTCAGAGATATCAAATTAGTGCTTACCGAATGATAGGCTACCATCATCCAAGAATTTAACTTGTGATCCAAGTCTGATTTTGGCCAGGGCCTCAAGTTTTGGCCAGTTCGATGTTAAGGCTACTGCCTTTCCAGGGTGGAGTTGGTTAAAGTCTTCAAGAAGCTAGAAAAAAAAAAATTTAAAATTAAATTTTGTAAATAGAAGGGAAATGTAAATTTTGCAGTGTAGTCAAATCTAGAATAGTTATCAAGAAATAAAACTGATAAAGGTTTGATATGAAATTTAAAAAATCACCCCCAAAATTACCCTTTGGACAAGAATTTCCTGTTACCAAAAAAAAGAAAGAAGAAGAAATACACCAACACCTCACGTAGGCCTGAAATTTTAAACTCACCAGTTCCCAACCATGCACTGTGCCAAGAGCACGGAAGTATGACAGATAGCTTGAGACACTTGTAATAACATTTTCCATGGGCTCCCCTTCAGTTGGCTTCTGGGACTTATTGATACACCTGACAAGTTGCATGCGAGCAATGTGAGTTCTATCCCAAGCACTGAGGACATCAGCCCATGGCCTGGAGTTGCCCGATAACCAGCGGAGATCCTCATCCTCCTCCAAATCGACCTCAGTATGCACTAAAGGAAAAAAAGACAGATTAACATACATCTCACAGCAATCAATAGATAAAGTGAAAGCAAATTATACCTATTTCCTCTTCAATTTCAAGTTCCTCCTGAAGTGTGGTCTTAGGAATCAAGCCAACCGAAATAAGTTTGCGCCTCAAGTTATGGTATTTGACAACCAGCCTACCAGCAACTACTTGTTTGCCGTTTTTCTGGTGTCGAGAAAAATAAGTCAACTGTAAGAGAAAAAACAATATCAAATATATTTGTACTTTGTAGTGGTGATATACTGGATGTACTAATTAGAACCATTTAAAATAAAAACAAATTTTCATATGG